ACCGAGGCCCCCAGTTCGTTTCCAGAGTCTGGAAGGAATTTGCCAACGCCTTGGGTGCCCGTGTAGCATTAACCTCCGGATTTCACCCGCAGACCAACGGACAGTGCGAGCGCATGAATCAGGAGCTGGGAGCTATGCTGCGTTGTGTATGTGCTACCAACCCCACCTCTTGGAGCGACCACCTGGCCTGGATGGAGTATGCCCACAACAGCCATGTGTCAACAGCCACAGGTCAGTCTCCCTTCGAAGCTTCTCTTGGCTACCAACCCTCTCTGTTTCCCCTCCAGTCAGACTCCACCGTCACTACTCCTCAGTTTCTCCGCCGGGCACGTCGAGCTTGGACAGCTACCAGAGCCGCACTTCTACGCACGGCCGAACGGAACCGGCAGTTGGCGGATCGTCATCGCCGCCCGGCACCAGCCTACGCTCCTGGACAGATGGTCTGGCTGTCCTCCAGGGATGTACCTCTTAAGGCCGCATCCAGGAAATTTGCTCCCAGGTTCCTAGGTCCTTTTAAGGTTGTGGCGGTTCCCAGCCCTGTGACCGTTCGTCTGGATCTTCCGCGATCTCTCCGGATTCATCCTGTTTTCCACGTGTCCTTGATCAAACCAGTGGCCACCAGCCCTCTCTGTCCGTCCCCGGACCCGCCTCCGCCTGCTCGGTACTACAAGGGTGGTCTGGTCTACCAGGTTCGGCGGATACTTGACTCTCGTCCTCGGGGTCGGGGAGTACAATACCTGGTGGACTGGGAGGGGTATGGTCCGGAGGAGCGTTCATGGGTCCCCCGGGCGTTCATCGAGGACCCCTCCCTCATCTCTGACTTCGAGGCCTCAAGGACCACTGCTGGGGCGCCAGGGGGCGCCCGTTGAGGGGGGGGTAATGTCATCGTTCTCGGGTCTAGGTGAGTCCTCCTGCTTAATTAACAATCTTTGGGGTTCTGTGTTCCACAGGTGAGGAGCAGAGAGGTACCAGCTGTGCCGCGTTAAATCATTTGGAGCTCGGGTTTAAGAGGAGGATGGGGACACTACTCGAAGCCGGATGATTGCTCCAGTATTGGTAACGCCTGCCACTCGTACTTGTTGACCTCGCATGTTTGGATTACTTGGATTTTTGACCTTGGACTGTTTATTTGATTACGGCTTTGAAATTGCTCCTGAAGCTTCGTTGGTTTGCCCTCCTCCTAGGATTATCACCCCAACCTTCACCAGATTCAGCTAAGAACCACGGATTCTCATTCACGTCTCATCCTCCTCCACCGCTCCTGCAGTTTTCCTCTCTGCTTCCTCACCTCCCATCCTGCTGGATTACTACACTCGTCTCCTTGGCCCGCTTGCCCCGCAGCTCGCTGAGCTAAGAACTCTGAACAATCGCCCTTGGCATCATTCACTGGATTTCAGTGCTACCTAAGTTCCCGTTTGTAAAAATAAAGACTTTAATTTCTTACCTCCTGACTCCCGTGCTGATTCTGCATGTCTTGGGTTAAACGCCTTCCACAAGCCATGACAGATACAGGCCCTTTGCTTATTTGCCGTCTGGTGTAGGGACTTGGTCAACCGTTCCTTTAAATATATCTTGTAAATGAAGATTAATGAGGAGGTTGTTTCTTTCCTCAGTCTATCCTTATTTTCTGAAACAAGAAGAAATATCCCCCCTCCATGTATGATAACATTTAAAGAGCTTAAAGCTCGTCACTGAAGTCAGAACAGTTTTCTAATTAAAAGGTTGCCTACCAGCATAAGACTTCTTAGGTCATGTGACATAATGTCGAGGATATTTTACATGCAAACAAGGAAAATGACTCATGATAATTACTGCTTCTAGTGAAGGTTCGGTTTCTTCACTGATCAGCTCGTCTCCAGAGATGCTTTTGGAATCCATTCTTATTTTAACACTGAAGTCACATTTACGTTTTCAAATACAACAAATACCTTTCTTTTAACATTACAGGGCTTTTAGAAAGGCTAATGAAACTTTTTGATGGAAGAGCTCAAGGTTATATGTCCATTTGGGGTTTGGTTGCCACTCACTGTTAGATGTGTACAGAAGAACTAGTATTTCTACCAGCAACCTAAACTCTTCAAACACAATTTAGGTTGCTTTACAGAAGCAACCAAATGATGCAAACACTTTAGGTCACATGGTGTGCTTGGGGCACAGCAGTTTCAGATTCACAAACAATAAATGCATTTGCATTTGGGCAGAACGTCCTCTCTGTCAAGGGTGGCCATCTGTGGAACAGTCTTCCTCAACCCATTAGAGAATGCTCGACTTTCAATTTGTTTAAGGTAGGGCTGGGGGTAAACGATTATTTTTAAAACGATTATTCTGACGATTATTTTATCGAATAGTCGACTATTCTAATGACTATTTAGAAAATTAATCTAATGATTATTTTTCTATTGCACAATTAACAAAAACCAGAAAATCTCAAATAAATTCCTCAAAAAAATTGATAAATTCTTACTGTAAGAGAATAAACACTACAGGCCTTCCATTTTTTATATCACTGCGTTTATTGTGTTGGTTGGTTATGTTCTGGTGACGTGTAGAACTTGGGAGAGCAGGCACTGCCTGAGAGGTGGTAGAAGATGGAGTGTCTCCATGCTGCTTTGTTTTGGTCACTTATGTGCGTGAGGCGAGTGGTGTTACGGGTTAAACCAAACTCAGGTGATATTTTACACTAAACCGAAAACCCACAACACTCTAAATGTAATAAAAGGGAGATCTACACCACAAAAAAAGATGAACTCTAAACCAAAACGTAACAGCTTATCCCAACGCAAGAAGCTGTTAGCGAAGATGCTAACAGTAGCTTTACCAACATTAAGTTCAAGTTACCAAGTTTAAATAAAACAAAAACACCCAGCAGCAAACAGACCAGCATGGAGGAGAGTCTGCTACCAGCAAAACAGCTCTCCTAATGTCTGAAAGAAGCTCCTTAATGAAGGGAGAAGCACTCCCGGTGATTTTCTACATCTGCGATAGACACGAAGCAGCGCATCTGACCCCGGAAGTTGTTGTCCGTTGCCAGGAGACGAAGGGGCAAAACAGGAAAATAATCTAGTAGTGGACGGACGTTGTTCCGGGTCTTCGGTATTTGGCGAAGATGTTAGTGAAGGGGGAGAAGAGGGCGAACTAGAGGAAAAACAGGCAGATTCCTCCTCTATTTACAAACTCCTGGGGATGCAACAAGTGGGCGCGGTGCGTCGACTTCCGGATCTGACGTCGACAAATTTTTAGAATCGAGCCGTCGACTTCGTCGAGGCTTCGCTACAGCCCTAGTTTAAGGCAAAGGTTAAAAACTGGTTATGGACAAATCAAGTGTGTGATCATGTATGAGTTGTATAGTTTTAATGTTTTATTTGTGCATAGAATGGTGTGTATGTGTAAGTTTGGTGATGGAGTTTTTATTGTGAATGAATGATGAATTTTTATGAATTATTATGTCTTTTTATGTCTAGGGACAACAGATGGAAATTAGCCTTTGGCTATAATCTGGCATGTTTACATTCATGTAATCTGCTTTTACATTTATGTTCATTAACATGCACTGTCCTAAATAAATAAATAAAAACAACAACAAATCACTGTTCCAACCCCCATAATTTTACACATACGACTTGTATATTTCAAAATGCAGGGAATGTTGTTTTTGTTCCACCAATCTGACTCAATTCCCTACAACGTCTGGTTCCCAAACAAAAGGTTCAAAGTACACCAAATGCCCCCAAAACTCCTGATTCACTTCCATTAAAAGCGAGACATAAGAGACATAAGATTTCTAATCGGTAAAACCCCAACATGAAACATGAACATTTCCATTGGTGTCCATCAAACACCCCGAACCCTCACGTTCAAATACGCTTCAGAAAGGCTCCATGATTTTTGTTTCACTACAACTTCTTGTTTGAATAAATATATATTTCAGATTGCTCCAACTACCACGTCTGTCAGATTATAACAACTGTCATCACACAAAGCTGGCTTTTTGATGGGCTAAAGCTACTGATGGATTCTTCTGAGAGACATTATGCTTCAAGGGGCTGCAAGAACTTTCTAGTGTTCTAGTAGTACCCCCACCCCAGTACCATGGCTTGAAGCCTTTTAGGACATGTTGAAGTATTGAAAAGACTCATTAATTGTATGACGGTATGAGGTACCTGCAGCCTTTGACCTTATGCTGGGTTTTGCAAATTGTTAATGTATAGCTGCACAAATATTTGGTGAAGAAAGTAAATTGTGCTTCTAAGTGATAGTTTTTATATTGCATGGACACAAACCACATCCAAGGTGCATCACCAGTGTCACAAGATCTACCAGTGGCCTGTATTTGATATAGTGCCTTCTCCCCAACCTTCCGATCACAGGGCAAGCACTTCAGTCCTGTGCTACCGTCGCCCCCAAGACATGTTGTAGATTAGATCTATTTAAAACCGGCAGCAATCCACTTTTAATCCGCTAAATGTAGGAAGTAATAATCCAAGTATGTCAAGCTAATGTAATACTAAATCATTCCTCAAAGCACATTCATACATAAGCAACTCTTTACCGATTTTCCTCTCACCTTATCAGTCATTGCCCAATTAGGTCGACCTGTACCCAGCAGAAGAGTGGTGCTTGTTAACCTGCAACCTCACTGAAGACACCATACCTACTCACTAATGACGCTCCCCACACTCACTCTGTGTGCATGCCTCTGAATACCCTTCCGGCTCTCTTGCACAGTGCAGTCATTATGCTAATTGCTTAATTATTCAGGAGAGATTACAAATCAGCATGAAACAATGAAATCTCACTTGATAATCGAGCCAGATACCTGGCTAAAGGATATTAGAAAATTTCATACTTCAGAGCAGAATGAAATTAAAGTTTAAAATTCATTATGTGTGTAATATAAAGAACGTTGGAGGGCCTTTGCATTTATCTGTAATTAGACCAAACCGAATCTCTTTGGAAGCAGCAGCAAGTTTGAATAAAAGTGAAGCCACCTCTGTGCTTACCTTGAGTTTTTCATAGCGGTCGCTCAATGCTGCCACCTGGTGGTCCCTGTGCCTTCCAACCAATTTGCAGAGTGAGCAGATTAGCTGATCATCACTAACACAGTACATGTTCACCTTCTCCTCCTCATGCTCCAGGCACTGGAGCCCTCTGAGGTGGGAATCAGGCATCGGCTCAATGAGCCTGTGACCCGTGAATGGCTTCTTGTTGGGGTGAGTTGCTTTGAGGCATTCCTCGCAATACGATACCTCACATGTCACGCATGTCTTAACTGCTTCCTGAGGTGGGTCCTGCTCACAGAACTGGCACTGGATGGGCTCTGGTGTAGTGCCTGGGCTGGACATGGCAGCACTGACGGGGACCAGAGCCAGCCGGTTGCTTCCTTCTTTGCTGGGAGAGTTGGGCCCGCTATTGGGAGCAGGCAATGGCAATGGCAATGGTAGGGGAAGCCCAGCCGAAGATGAGGCTCGCTGAACTCTGTCAATGATGTTCTGCAACGTCACGTTTCTCTTAAGTCCGTCTAGTCCACGTTCCGGACTTAGGGAAATGACATATCTACAAGTGGGGCACTGGAATGCGCCAATGCTCTGGACAGACTCGTTGGTGGCACAGTGAGAGACGAGGATGCGGTGGGCGCAGCCAAAGCACAGGCTGTGGGCACAGGGGAGCAGCAACGGATCTTCAAAGAGCTCCAGGCAGATTGGGCAGGTAAGCTCTGACTCCAGAGTGTCCATCCTGCTCAGAAGAAGCCAGGCGGGACCAGGCACGGCGTCAGCAAAATCCAGAAGAGCCGCTCAGCTGTCTGCAGGTCAAAGACAGAAAGGAGAAGAGAGAGAGAAAGAAAGCAGAGGGATTTGTGATTAAATGGTGTGAAACAGCTTAGTTTCAGCTTCATTCATGGGTGAGCTTAGATCCCAGTGGTGCAAATCAGTGAGTGGACAGAAAGACTGGCAGTACAAGAGGTGTATTTAGGTGAAAACCAAAAAAAAAAGACATTTTTTAGCCCAACAATAACAAACAGATCTAATTAAATACACTGTTTCAGTCAAAGTCAGGAAAATATATCGATTAGTCTTAAAAACACACTGCTGATCCACATTCCCCAAGACACATTTACTTTACTTTTGGATTTGCTTGGATTAGCAGCATTGCCACATGGCAGCAGACTCTTGAACTTCACATGCCTCCATCATATTAAAGATTCAAGAAAGAGTTTGTCAGAAAGTGCTTAAGACTGTTCAGCCACAACCCGTAACTAACTCCACACGACTCACTTGTGCTCCTTAATGAATGTGTGCTAGCAGCAGTGACTGATTCCTTTACAGCAGTAGTGGCTGCTGTGGCTCATTAGCAATTAGCACTAATCACAGTTAACTGAACATCATATGAGGGTACTTGAGACCTAATTTCAATCATGGATTATGCTTAAATTAAAATATTTTTAATATTTGTGTGATTTCTGCATTAGCAATCCGTATGGCTGTGGGAGTGGTGTTTTGATATTAGGTGCAGCAGTGCCAGCTGCAGACACAGCTGAAGGCAGTTAGCAATTAGCGCTCATGTCTACTCAATCCTCCCGCAGAGAGGAAGACTTCTTTTTTCCTGTTTGAGGGGATCTTATTCCTGTCAGGATGTCTTCTCCCTTCTTGATGAGCTGACTAAAAATAGCATGTTGTTATTGAACATGCTAAGGGTACGTTTTCAACTGAGGTTAAAAGTGAAATAGTGCTGTAAAACTCATGGATAATGTCTTGCAATGTCAAAGTAAATATCTTGGATTTTGTTTGAGAGGCAACAGCTATTGACATCATGGACGAACAAAGTCTACTTCAACATTGAAATGCATTTTATTCTGAAGTAAAACTTATCAGATCTAATGCAACATATGCACCATTTTATCCATTATCCTAACTGTTTCATCATCTCAAGAGTCATGGGGAGCTGGTGTCTATTCGATCATTGGGCGAGAGGAGATGGATACCCTGGACAGATCTCTAGACCCTCACAGAGACAAACAAGGGCAATTTAGAGTCCCCAGGTAGCAGTATTTGCATGTTTTTGGTCTTTGGGAGGAAACTAGTGTACCTGAAGAAAACCCTGCTTAGTGGCATCAGGGTTAGAGGCACTCTTACAGTTAAATATGTAACCCCTTCCCCTCAACTCTTCACCTCACCAACATTCGATGATAATGGGGCTAACATAATTTAATTTCACTATGTGAGCACATCACTGGAAAGATACATCTTCAGAATAGTTCTTTGTCATATCCACTTATTAACACAACTTTTGCCATAAGATTCCTAGCCTGTCAAGCAAGTAAATGTATAGTCTGGTCACAACCCAGCCTGAGCTTAGTTGTGGGGTGGAATCTAGTTTTTTAAACTGTCTCTGCAAGCAGTTGGTCAGCGCTAGGGCCAATCAGAGCAATGAATAACCATCGCTACTGAGATTAGTCAAAGGGCAGTCCGCCATACACCACAGAAGATGAAGAAGCACATACATCGTTTTTAGAAATAAAAGACAAGTCCGATCATGTCAAAAAAATAAAAGTCTAAATTGTCAAAAGTTGACGTCATTCGTCACCCATCGCCATCTTTGAAGTTTTTCTTCCATCGCAGCTCTGGTGCTAAACCCACCCAACATTTCTCTACAAACATTTAAAGAGCAGTGATTGGTCTGACCTAAAATTGGATGTCCAATGGAGTGTGACTAGACCAACGTGTAGATCAAAAGCTTTTGCTGCCGTCTAGATTTCTAGGCTAATAATTTCCATTTTTATTGAACAGTTGCAAAATTCTGTGTTCCACATAATAATACTCATATCATTCTAAAAATTATAAAGTGTTGTTGCTACGGTGCCAGTAGTTGCAGTGCAGTAATTGCCTAGTTTTTAACCCTTCCACTGTCCTAATGGGGACACTAAAGGAGTGAGCACCACCTCACCCCTGCCACGTGGACCTCAAGGGATAAACCATCAATCCTGCTCAATGGTCAACTTTCCTAACAGGGTCACCCATAAAGACAGTGGGAGGGTTAAAGGCATTAATTATGTTTTGGAAAAGGAATGTCTATAGGGGTTACACAACCGTAGTTAACTAAATGATAGCTCACAGACAATTTATGAGAGTTGTTAAATTAGCTCAAAGTAAGAAACTTGAACTTAAGCAATAATTTTCTATAGAGCAATAAGTAAGAAAATAGTTAACATGATTTTAAAAACATATTAGTAAGTAAAGGTGACTATTTTAGTCAGATTGGGCCCACCTAGTACTTTTGAGAAAACCTCAATTTTTGACTCTTCTAGCTATAGGAAAGTCAAGTTACATAAACTAAAATATAAGCATTGCAGTAAAAACAGGTTTTGAATTAAATACATGCACTGTCCAGGCTGGAACGAAAACCATTCTTATCTACCACCGAGTGGCATCTCAAGTCACTGTGGACTGAGATTCAAGTGCGAGTGCGTTAGAGAGGACTTCTATGTATCTATTCATTCCCGGTCCATATTTATGCATGGCTTCCTCTGGTCAAAAAAAAAAAGATAAAGTGTCCTCAATTCAAGTTTTCTGCAGTGAGAGCTATTTCAGCAGCTGTAATATTTCAAGGCAGATAATTTGGGCTGATGAGCTAGAGGCAGAAGATAAATTAAAGTAAAGATGAGCACTTGTTACAATAAAAAGTAAAATAAGTCCAATTTCAACAATTGTTTAAATCAGAAATAAAAAATGTTGCATTTAATTTTTTTTTCTCAGGACAGTAAAGGATGAAGTGTACTAGAATAGTAAAAGTAGAACGTAGTAGAGTTTATCTGTAGTTAAAGAAAAACTAAGATGATCCATTCATCACAATTGTTTAAAACTCTCATTCAGTATTAATTTAAATACATTTGCAGTGGTTGTTAGTATAAATGAATGCCTTGTGAGTAACTCTGTGAAGCTCTGGCCTTTTCGTTTCAGCAAGTAGAACAGGATTGGGGAACCCTGATCCTCGAGGGCCGGTATCCTTCATGTCTTTGCTCCAACACTTCTGATTCTGTGGTTGATTCACCTGTTCAGCAGCTCATCGGGCTCTGTTAATCACCTGCTGATTGAAATCAGGTGTGTTGAAGCAGGGTTGAAACTAAAATATGCTGGATAGTGGCCCTCGATGGACCAGGGTTCCCCACCCCTGAAGTAGAAGTTAGTCAGATGAGTAGTGGGCAGAAAAGGGCAGGATTTATATTGATCTAACTTAATAAAATTCATGATATTCAGGACATCTAGGCTCTGATTGCCTAAAAGCAACACAACTCTACTGCTGCCTCCGTTTACTCCTTCTTCTTCCGGCTCTTGGTGGGTGCAGACGCGTTTTTCCTCCTCTCCTCCATATCTTATCCTCAAGGCCTTTGTCTGTCTGTGTGTGCTGGGTGCACGGCTGCTTCTGCATTTTTCTGGAAGCTGGAAACTGAAATACATTTAAATGGATCTCGTTAGCTGGTCTCTCAACGCGATTGATAAAATTTTTTCAACAATGAGAATGGGAGAAGGGGCTCCCGGATGTCCTGCCGGTACAGACCCAGTTGGACACATCATGGACTCCTGGAAAAAGTGGAACTTGATCTGTTTATCTCGGCTGTCGGTGGAGGACTCTGAAGACGTGTGGATATCAGTGGTGTTGGTGTCAGGTTTCCTGCTCATTGGCCTTGGAGGTTACCTGGCTTACCGAAAAATTAACGAGCTGTCGAGGAATATTGGCCTGATCCCAGAGCTCAGAGATGGATTGCACCGCGCTGTGAATTCACAGACTCACATAATTGTCGAGATGAATCGTAAGCTTGGGACTTTGGCAGAGATTCATTCTTTGGCACAGAAGATGGATGCCATCAAGGAGAGAGTGGACGAATCAGCACGGATTGGGATAGATTAACGTCCATTATTGGGATTCTGAGAGGTTGAGGACCAACAAACTGTAAGACAGAGAGGAAATTATCTCTGTCTGGCCCCAAAACAATTTCTAATCGGAATCTGGCGTCCTTGAGCCTGCAAGGCTCCAACGAAAACTCCCCCCTCAGAAGATATGTGGAGTGTGCCGTCGCCATGGCAACTCAGCTCTGTCTCCTATCCCAGCCTGGGCGGGACTACGGGAAGGCCGCTGAAGCGTCCAGGGTCACTGCAACCCTCCAACCCTCAATGCTCCACCCCCGCCCCATCCACACTGAGATGACATGCGCTGCTTCATCGTGGCTGCAGGATCTGGAGTTGGGATGGTCCCAATCCACCACCCCACCTAGTGGACACTTATGTTGTGTGATGTCTGAAGTCTGTTGCATATCTGTCTGTATGAGGTGTTTTTTTGCAGAACAAAGCTGCCCTCCTGGTGGGAGGGTAACTTTGAAGTGCCTTTTTTCCCTCCACCTGAACCAATCCTCATGTAAACCCCTCTTATCTCTATTAAGGTAGCCTGACTCAGGGTTGCGAATGACCGCAGTCACCAATTCTTGTCATGTGTCTTGCCCATGTATGTCTGATCTCTGAATTGTGTGTACTGAAACTCTAATTTCCCTCTGGGATTAATAAAGTATCTTTGATTGATTGATTGATTGATTGATTGATTGATTGCATTGTAGACATACAAATAACACAAATCTGAAGGAGTTCTGCTGTGTTGTGAACAGTTAGCCCCTACTAGCCAAAACGTGCGCTGCTTCTCCTGGACGCCAAATCAACGACAGCCTTCCATGATTGTAAACCAAGGTTGGTGAGTCCATTAATGCAAATTTACTTTGTGAGTTTTAGATTATATTTATATTTTATCCACCTTATT